TACTGATATCTTAAGAACCACATTTGGTTTTTGATGAAACTTCATGCATATATGCTCTCGGCTAATGCGAAGATTTGATCAGGTTTTGGTAGAAAATCATGCATATTAATTATCTATTTTGCATGAAACTTGGCCTTGACACACTTGAGCAAGTATTGTATATTCTAATTTGTTGCTTGGCTTATGTTATAATTGCCGATGAATGTCAGGCCTACAGGCCTATTTGTTTTGGTTCTAATAACATTTCAATGAAACTTGGTACATAGGTCTGTGACATTGCACAAACCTTTTTAGTTTTATACTCAATATGTGCATATTAATTACCTGATTTGCATAATTAGTCAGTTTTCAGGTTTTCCATCAATATCTCAAGAACAACAAATTTTAAATTTATTTTAAATGTGTCTCCGACACATTAAAAGTTCTTTCTAAGAGTTCTTTCTACACTTTCTTTGATTTGACATTATTATACATCAAAATCTAAATTTGGTTTGATTGCAATTGATGTGTTAGTGCTGCAAAAACTAATATTAAATGATAAAGGAAAAAATTGAATGTAAGAAAGCTGCAGGTTATGATGGTTATTGTTCAGAATTATTGAAATATGGTTCAGATTACTTGATTAAACCACCGTGTAAATTATTTAATTTGATTCCAAATACAGCAGAATATCCTGATATTTGGAATATTAGTGTTATTATTCATATCTATAAAAAGAGTGATAGGCCTGAGCCAGGGAATCACAGCAGCATATTTTCTGTATCTATCTAGCTGCATTGGCAAAGCCTTCTGTATTATCTTAAATAATAGTCTCAACTATTTCACAGAGGAAAATAATATTTTTGACAATAACCAAGCAGGCTTTCGCCAAAAAAATGCTGTACAACTAAACATATTTTTGTTTCAAAAACCGTTGTTCATAAGTATTTTAATCAAAATAGAAAACTTCTGCTTTGTAGACTTCCAAAAAGCCCTTGACATGGTATGGAGACAGGGATTGTTCTATAAACTGCTCAAAAATTGGATTAATGGAAATCTGTATAAAATTATAGAAAATATGTACCTTGTTACAACATCATGTATATTTTCTAACCAAAAGAATATCACCCTTGTTTCAAACAATTAAAGGGGTAAAACAAAGTTGTATTATAAGTCCAAGCCTTTTTAATATTTTCTTAAAGGATCTGTATGATGTCTTAAGAGATAAATTTATTACTGGTGTCAATTCATATACTTATCTGGGGGTAACAATACAGGCAAATGGTAAATTCAACGAATATGGCAGATAAAGCACTCAGAGCTCTATATAATAATAATATTTATTTATGGCATCTTTAGAAATACAATATTTCTATAAGTACAGTAGCAATAAAAGTATAACAATGTATAATAATAATGAAATAATAAAGAAAGAGAAAATATTATAATGTTAAGTATAAAAGTAAAATGTAATGTGTTAATTTTTTTTACTAATACTAAATAAGTTTAATAATAATAAAACTAAGACTAATAATAATAAAATTCAAAGCTATCAACTATCTATTCTTTTTTGAAAGGCTTTGTAAATAAACTGTGAAACCTTTTTTATAATTTCACATTCATCTGCACTGAGCAATCAAATGAATGTATTGTGTGCATCATGTGATAGAAAATTAAATTCAGATTTATTAGCATTTTTTTAATTTCTATTAATAGTGGTAGTTCACACCTATTTCGCTCCTACATGCTGCATTGCTTGTATATCTGTTTAAACAAAGTGTTCTCTTACAAAATTTTAAGTGCGTTTTTTCAATTGGACATTTCTCTCATTTTCCAAAATCCAAAATGTCTGATCCCCAGACATCTGCACCATAGAGTAAAATGGGTTTAATGTTTGAATGAAATAATTTCAGAAAGAGTTTGATGTCAGTGTTCCCTTCCAATGTTTTGTTCAGTATAAACATAGCTTTGCATGCTTTCTCTGCTAATTTTTTCTTCGCTTCTATAAAATTTCAAGATGATGAGATTATTATGAATAAAAGGTAAAATCATGAACTCTGAAATATTCAAACTGATTCAATAAAGATGATGAAACGACTGTGTAATCTACTGTACTGACCCAATTATAGTGGAAACATGTAAAATTATATTTATTATGCTAAGTCAAAATACATGCCAAAAGAAACTGACTGCGAAATAGTTGACCATACTTTCAAGACATCTGTAAAACCTGTCTTATTATGTGGTGCAGGAATTTGGGGAATGAAAACCCTAGATAACAATAAATGGGATAAAACATCAACAGAAAAAATTCATCTAAAATTTTGCAAATAACTATTGAATCTAAACAAATTTTCCACAAATATTGCATGTAGAGCAGAGCTGGGAGAATTTCCTTTATTTGTTGATATTAAAATAAATCTTATTAAATACTGGTCTAGAACTAAGGATCTCCCAAAAAATAATTTAACAAAACTAGCATTTCAAGAACAAATGAAGTAAAACTTATCAATTTCAATTCAGAAATTAAACAAATCTGTAATGGGAGTCAATTTAACACAGGATTCAAAACAAATTATGAAAAGTGCTAAAAAGGATTACAATGAATTCTTGAAAAAAATGCCTTAAAGAAAAAACAAAGCTTAGAACATATGTAATGCTTAAAGATACTTATACTTATGAATCATATTTATCTTTTCTTCCCCTCAAAGAAAGAGTCACTTTATGTATATTTAGAACCAAAACCTGGCTATTGAAACAGGTAGACGCACTCAATCCAAAACTCCAATTGAAAATAGAATTTGCATAAACTGTCCTCAATAAAACTGAAGGTGAATTACATTTCTTCATGGATTGTCATCTCTACAACAATTATCGAGATGACATGAAGGAAAATATTTAACTCCCTAAAGAATTAGATAATAAACAAAAAACATTTATATTTCTGATGAGCAATAATAGATCTTTTGAAATCAAAAATGAAAATTCTTTATAAAGTCATTACTAGGTACTTTTATTTACTATTACTTTTATCTTATTATTAATTAACTCAACTTTCTTTTATTACTTTATTGCTGTAGACTGATAGAAAGATTGTATTTCCAAGGATGCAATAAAGATTATTATTATTATATTAGCAGCAAATGTGTATAGAAGATAGTCATATTCTTTACATGATGATTCTACACAATTCTATAACATTCAAAATTGTATAGATTTCTATGGAATTTTAACAGAATTTATTCATAAAAAAAATAAAAAATTATCCCTTTTTTGTAAGGGCAGCCATTTTTGTGCTGGAAAATCATCAAAATGAAGTATTTCTGGCATTCCGGAACCGGATCTTTTATGGATGGATTTTGTTTAAACTTGGTACATACATTTGACATTATGGGTTCTTGATGCACTGCATTTTGTTCAAAAATTATACATGTATATTCATCACATGTATTGGGTTCACTATTCGATTAAAAATCATTTTGTTTTAATTAATGCTGTTATAAAACAGTACATATGCATCTCTCAATATGGACAAGTACACATTTGACGATCAGATACAAGACGACTGAATGTCAGTCTTTTTAACATTAAAAAATCATAATCAAGCATCAGCTTCTGGATCCATATCCCTGAGATACTTATGTTCTAACTATATTACTATAAACTATATATCTTAATTTTGAGAACTAATGGGGACTGTGCCATGCATGGCTTGTTCCTAAAAAACTACAGATTTTTTACCCAGACCCATTTAGTGTCAAGTTGCAATCTGTGCATAGTAATTACCTAATTTATATTTTAAATAGCCAATTTTAATCATTTTCACTTCTTTCTCAAGAATTATTTACTGATTTATTAGTTTGCTTAATAGTATTATAAATTGCGAGTCACATTCCAGAGCTATGTTAGTCACTAGGCTTCTTGTTTAAAAGGCTAATATGAAATTTTGAAGCAATTCAAAATGTACACTATACATTTACCTCTTACAAACATGTAGCACACTAAAGTTTATTCCAAGCTTTCTTTGATTAGTGACTGTCAACATTAGTACCAAATAATTATATTTACATTCATGGGACAAACATAATACAAAGTGGAGCCAGTTTATTTGTGTGTTTTCTTCCTCTATTTTGCTGATAATGTATTTTTAGCCTGGAAATAATTCTGAAACAGACGCTTGTGCAAATGTGTTTGAACATGATCAGTCCAGCCATGTTAGCAATATGTCTCTAAAAACAGCATTTGTTTGAAACAAAATGGCCATCAGTAAGCCATTTTGAATCAAATCTGGAAACAAAAATTACATGAATCAATGACCTATTATGTTTAATGGACATACCAAGTTTGAATGAAATATGTCCATGCATGACTGAGATCCAGTTTCAGAGTGGCAAAAATGCTAGCTTTTGATGCATATGTTTTTATTTCTGAACAGACCATAGACGAAGACTTAGACATGCACAGACTGTAAAGGAAACTGCTGTATACTGCACTTTGGATAAAATACGTGAAACAATGAGATACAAAAAAATGTTTGACTATGTTGTTATTGTTGAGTTAGCACAAAACAGAGAAACTTGCAAACATGAGCCATTTATATCATACCAGTTTCCACAAGAGGTGAGTAGAAACATTGAATAAGTAGAGAGGGGGGGGGGGGGTTGCTAATTAGTAACAGTAAAGCATAGTATTAGCAAAATGGTTGTTAATTGTCATCGTTGTTAGTGTTGTTCAGTGTATTGAACTTGTTGTGGCACCATAAACTCCAAAAATATGTAGCTGATTGCTGTCAAACTTATATATATGGTTAATCTGTAGGTATAGTTGGCCTGATATATTTTGGGGTTGATCTTCAAACAATTGTATTTTTGACAGTTTTTTCTTTGAACATCTATTGGGTAACTTCACAGTGTAGTAGTTATGATCTTTGATTTTTTTATTTTAATATTTTTTTTTTTAATTCTATTGTCATGTTTCTTTATTAAAATTATTATTTGTTTGCCTTTTTCGGCATTTTCTTTGATTTTCTTAATGACGTCACATTTTTTTGTAAGTGCTATTAATAGAAGGCACCCTTTAACTTGTTGTTCAATAACTTCAATGAATTTAATAACAATTTTTTTACCTGTTCGCTGACAGTGGTCAATGGTGGTAAACCATTCAGCCAAAATAGGGATTTTTGGTTATGATTTTTAGCAATTTAACTAATCTAATCAGATAGATTGGTAAAATTCACTACGTTCAATTACCCACCATAGACTATTTTGAACTGTAGGCATTAATCTGCGATTCAGCCAATGACGGAGAGAGAAATCTAGGTCAGGGGAAGCCCCATGACCTCATAGATTATCCTTTACATCACAAACCAAGTGACCGAGGCAATGAGGGCGACGTCACACTGCTCACTTCTATTTTTTCTCCGCACCATGTGGGTGGCTCGGGAAAACGGTGCGTTTCAGTCATCCAGATTTTTTCATCTCCTCGTTTTTGTGGCTGGTAGGATAAGTCTTTCTTATTTTTTAACCCTGTGTCGCCTTTTTGTGTGCATTGCTTACAAGAAAGAAAAAACTTGAGTGATGCAAATTTGGCTACGTTAGTTGGATCTCTCTCGCTTTTAACTGTAATTCGTTCTTCTCATGCATGTCTTGTTCATTTTTACCTGAATGTGTTTTTAGAAATAGATAGGAATAAAGGGTAACATGCCAGAGGCTTCTCACCTTCTTTGTTTTCACCCCAAAGAATGGGGCGGTCATGCGGTAGTTGCCACCAGGAATCACCAGCTTGGTATAGACATAGCAAATACTATTTGTGTTTAGACTGTGTGCAGAGTTAGGGTTTTGTCTAGAGAGTATTTGTAACAACTGGGGTTCCAAGGCCTGGTATGCGTTCCAAGGCCGCGTGCAAATTGCCAAGAATGTCTGCGTCGCTCGCGTTTGCAGCAGTCGCGCGTGCAGTAATTTGGGCGTGAGTGAGAGGTGTCTCTGACACTACCTTGCTCACATTTTTTAGTCCCCGTTTGGACGAAGTCCGAAAATGGGGTCTTATAATTCGGTCTCCGTCCATACGTCATATTTCAGAATTCTTCGTACCGATTCTGTTCATTCTTTGCATGTGTCTAGTACTTTATGTGGGCATATGCACATGCCATGGTTTAGCGATTCGATTCAAAATGGCAGCCATCTTGTTTTTTGAAAATGTCGTATTTTGGACATGCTTTGCCAGTTTTCATTGAAATTTGGCACATACTTTATACATGTTAGGATACATATTCATGACAATTTGTTTCAAAATCAGATCAAGGATGGCCGATTGACAACCATCTGACTTTTTGGCATTACTACTATATTTCCAAGATTTATGTACCATTTTCAATTGTATTGGGCACATACATCATACATGTCAGTTTGTTTCATAATCAGATCAAAGATGGCCGTATGACGGCTGTTTTTATTTTTGACCATATTACTATTTCTCTGTCACCCATGTATCATTTTCATGTCATAAATGGATACATATACATGTAAATTCAATTTGCAATTTGATCGAATATGGCCGACTGGTGGCCATCTTGTTTGTTTAAAATGGGATAACTTGGACATGCTTAGACATTTTTTAATCAGGTTATACCTAGCTTACTAATGTTGGTGTCATTTTTAACTTTTAATGCTTTAACTCTGCTTGCCATTCACCCTCAGGGGTGATTCACATTGATGCTACTGTTTGATTCACCAATTATGTTGTGTCTGAGCATATATCATACTTTGCATGGCCATATTCCCACCATCAGTTGGGTTGTTTAGCAACAGATGGGATTCTGGGACAGGGCTGCCATCTTGTTTTGGAGTTCTGTTAGTTATTACACGAGTAAATATTCCTCGTACTTTAAACCTGTCGTCTGCTTGTTTATTGTTCAGAGATCAGTTGAGTGAGAAAAGTTGGGTTGCTTAGCAACAGATGGGATTCTGGGACTGGGCTGTTTTGGTGTTCTGTTAGTTATTATACGAGTAAAAATTACTTGTACTTTAAACCTGTTGTCTGCTTTTTTATTGGACCTGACACCACAAATTACATGTCTCATTGCATTTTGTCACAACGAGCAAGCGCCTTTCGCATATCTGAGATTGTTTTTTGCCTCTCAGATATGATTATGGGGATATGGACATTTTACCTTAATTAACTGACGAACTGACGTTCTTTTATTATTAATTTAGATCTTGTCTGTGCACCCATGTGTGCACATTCACGTTACCATCTTTTTCTCACACATTTGTTATCCAATTCAGTTCAGAGTTGGTACAGAGACAGGAATTGAAAGTGTTATTAGGCACATCAAGTTATTTTTTCGAATCTTCAAAGTTTCACTGTGATTTTCAAAATTTTTCCATCAAAATTGCTGGAAAATCCGACTATTTCCGAAATTACCCGAGTTTAATCCGAGTTTTGATGACAGTGTGTGCAGTTCTCGTCTCGCTGGAAATCACAGTCATTTTTGTGTGAGGATATTGTATCCGGGAATTGTATCTTTATTTGGGCAATGCTTATATGGACAAAATTCTGTCTCGTCAATTTCAAAGGTAAGAAACTGTGCTTATTATGGTATTTATACACTTTGTATTATCGTTTGTGTCTCGGGTTTGGTGATTGTGAGAAACTCTTGCTAACCTGGCGAGAGCTTTGCCAGAAAAACTGCCTTTCTATCATTGTTGTAGGAACTGATTATGTATTGTGTAAATTGAAAGTTTACCTCGTGATTTATATATAAGAGGTTTGCAGTGCTCTTTCCGGGATTCAAACGCCGTGGTGGTGTCGGTGCAACGCTGCTCTGAGACGCTTGCCAGACTCCGCCTCACTTAAAATCATTATCGCCATGCTTGATTTCCGCAACATTTACATTTATTTAGGATTTCCACAGCTATTGTTCTATGAGATGTGTCCTCGCTGTTCATAAACAGCCATATACAAGTTTATTTGGGTCATCATGTACTCATTGAAAGTGTTGGTTTATTTACGTAATCCACTGATCACGCCATAAATTTATGAATTTCATGAACCTTATTAACTCATTTTGAAGTACAGTGCATTCGACAGCTTTCCATGAATTAAGGTCAGGTATTCTCTAGTCTGTCCTTTTTAATGTCAGACCACTAATAATTGATTTGTGGCCTACATATTATACAATTCAAAATCTTAAACCTGCATTATAATTATTACCATTCCACTCACAGCTAATGATAAATAATTAAAAAAAAAAGATTGTCA